CTATGGGCCAAAGGTAGGTAGCACAAAAATAGAACTGGAGCAACAATGCAAGTTAAGAGACAGCATATTTTTCTGGAACAAACAAAATGTAATGAAGATGCACTTTTTCTAAAACAAGGGAACCTCAACATTCTACAAAAGGGACCAATTTTGTGAAAGGCTATATAATACTAAATTTAAATTGTGATGAGTAAAGAAAAATGCTTCCATAATACCAAAAGGATGGCATTTATTTCTTCCAAGTTCCTGTCAATTTAAATATTTTAAAGCATTATTATCAGAAGATAGCTATTTTTCCCCCTAGATTCAGTATACATATGAAAAGCAAATCCTTCAATATCAGTTCTCAACTGACACCTGCTCTTTTCATTTTTCAAATTTCAGTTCCATGAATAGTGAGGAAAGAGAAAATTCAAATATATAGAAATGTTTCATCAGGTACTACCCCCAAGGAGTCAGCCAGGTCTACTCTTCTATTGTAAGAGGGAGACTACATGGGATGACAGACAGAAAGGGGACTCTTTGCCAAGATATCTGCTATATTGTGCTAACCCAACCAGGGGACAGATCTTGCTTTACAATGTCACCTAAACTGTGCAATACAGTGTGGTTGGTATTTCCTTATTATTCCTCCTCTCATCATTTTGCATTCTTGAACATTAATCCTAAGCCAGGCTATGATTAATCAAACCTAATGACCCTGGGTTTTCATAGGGGTTCCCCAGTGGCTAAACTTTCATCATTAGTAGCAAGCTGGGGAACAGCTATAAGAAAGGTACAGAGGTGAATCTTTTTCCTTATCTCTAATCCTACCTCTTCCATGCTAGAAATCTCTTTAATCTTCATAGTTATAAGGAGAGTTGTGGATTTCCTTCCCTTAAGCCTACCTGAAAAGAGAGCAGAGAACAATTCCTCTCTCCTAGGCCTCACTCATATCTCTACCAACCCAAGGATTTCTGCACTTCGAAAAGAAATGACAGACAGTTTTTATTAGTTCATCACCCTTCTCAAAACTGTCTTCTCATTTCTTGGAAACATTCTCTCAAATAAATAGGAAAAGTCATATATAATATGGTAAGAGACACAGTTCTAACCAAGAACTGTAGTTTGAGATCTTTAAGAAGCCAAAAAAAATTAGTCTAATTTTTATTTAAATAAGGGTGCTGTGCCCTGACCAACACTACTAAACACATTTCTCAGGTGCTGTGAAGAAAGCTCAGTTCTACTTTTCCTCTACATTACTTGGCATCTTTATCATGGGGGAGGACGTAGAGACTTTTTAATATTTCCTACAAACATCTTCAAGGCTGACTTGGTTTTACTGAGTGTAAGTATAAATGTGACTGAAAAATTGTTAAAGCTCTTTACTAAAACAGAAGTCTCACTAGTTTCTGAACTTCCTGTCATTTCTCCCACTAACCCTTTTTCAAGAGAAGAGTTGAATAAAGGGATTTCTAATTGTATACATTTATTTTTAAAGGTTTTATTTATTTGAGAGAGAGAGAGAAGGAGGAAGGGAGAGGGAGAGAGAATCTGAAGCAGATTCCACTCTGAGCTCAGAGCTGGACTCAGGGCTCGATCTCACAACCACAGTATGATGACCTAAGTTGAAACCAAGAGTTGGATGCTTAACTGACTGAGCCACCCTGGCGACCCTCATTGCATACATTTCTAAGATGAAATATTGCTGTGAATAAATGTCATCAGGTTCAGTTCAAATACATCATGAGTTTTTTTTTAAAGATTTTATTTATTTATTTATTCATGAGAGACACACACACACAGAGAAAGGCACAGACACAGGCAGAGGGTGAAGCAGGCTCCATTCCATGCAGGGAGCCTGACGTGGGACCTGATCCCGGGTCTCTAGGACCACACTCTGGGCTGAAGATGGCGCTAAACCGCTGAGCCACCCGGTATGCTCTATTTTATTTTTCATGAATGCGATATCCTACTATATTTTCTTTATTATTTAGATACACAATTTTGGAAAGTCAACATAAAAGCATTATTTTCCTTTCTCCTTTAGGTGACTTTGGATAATGACAAAATGTTTATCCTTCAATAATCACTACTTATCTATGGCAAATAAAAAATTTTGACAACTTGCATTATCCTTTTAACATTTAGCTATAGTCTAGCTAGAAGAAAGTAAATATTGTAGGAATGTAAGGTTTAATTTATTACCCAGGCCAGGGAGTAGGCACACCATTACCACAGACAGCATGCATGCATGCATAAATAAATAAATAAACAAGATAACATTTGAGCAGTTTCTAGTGTCAGGAACTTCATCTGACCTTTACAGCCACTCCATGAAGTGGGTGCTTTATTTCAGTGTTGAGGAATCTAAGGCTTTGAAGAGGCTAATTTATCTAGATCAAGAGCCAGCTAAAGGCAGAGCCAGGATTCAAACCCAGGTTTGAATAACTGCAAAGTCAGAAAGGCTGAGTTGAAATTTAACTTCCTACTAAGAGAATATAAATGCCTGGAAGAATGTTAATAAAAATAATAATCTTTGCTATCTCTAAGTAGTAAGTCTCAGATTTTTTTTTCATTTTCCTTTCTTTTTTTTAATGTACTATTTGAATTTCCCACATAAGAACATATTTTTTATTTTCTTAAAGAAAATCAAGGTCCAGGAAAAAAAAATAGAACAAGCATACATAAAACCTATGATTCTGTAACTTGAACTTTGAGATGCTCAAAAAAGTGCTCCCATGTTCAAGTGGGAGAAGAAGATACTAAAGATAGGAAAAACAGGATGAAGTGAAGGAAGTGTTTTTGGACAGAGTCACAGAGAAGCCACACGGTAAGTCCCCTAGCCTACCATTTTTCTCTTAAAGCTATTCACCCAGATGTCTAAGTCTTTTGACCCAGAGATTTTCTCTACGAATTTACCTTAAGGAAAAGCTATGTGCAAGAACTCATCCATGGCAGCATCATCTATTATGGAGAAAAAGCTGGAAACAATCTAAGAGTCCAAAGTTAAGGCGTATTAATAAATTATAAAGATCAGATAAAAATATGGATGTTTATTATATAAGATATGTAAAATAAGGATACACTGTCACAATGTTTATTTTTTTCAGTTATATTTTTGTTATAATTTTCTCCATTTTTAAAGTCAAAAATTACTTAAAATTATTCCTTTAAAATGCCAGCATCATAATTATGTTATTAGAAGTAATAAGGATCAAATACACGGTGCCAGATCTAAAGGTCTCCCTGGAAAAGGGAAGCAGAAAGCTCGAATACTCTAACCAGAGGACAATGACATGGTGATGTAATTGACTACGGGAAGTAGTTCATTCAGAGGAAATCAAGGTGGGTGGTATGATGAACAGAGAAGTTGCAAACATATTAAGGCTGTAAAAAAGTATATATTATGTGCCTTCCAACTTATTAGGACATAAGTACAATGCAAAAGACTTTCACAGATGAAACCTCACATTTGCAAGTGTGGCAGAGAAATATATGCAGAGGCAGTTGGATGTGCACTAAAAAAGTGGCTATCAAAAAGAGAATAAGGTATTTACATTACCCCATAGTGAAGTACTCTATACTTTTGTCAGTGCTACTCTCAATAAGCCACAATAGCTCCTATGTAAATATTCACAAAATTCTGGACAATTATTTATAGACTATAATATAAGATGCTTTCAAAATCTTTTATTGCTAGAAGAAAAGAATACAGACCAAGATAAAACAGGTATGCATAAAGAACAAGGCCCAAAAATTTTAGAATAATTAGGAGAGGCTTATAGCTGTTCATGGTAGAGAAAGAGGACAAATGCAGCCTTAGAAGATACTGAAAACACAAAACAAGTCTGTGAATATCATTGTTTTTTTTTAACACCATTTTCACTTCTAAGCGAAATATGCTCAAATTACCATACACCTAATCTTTCAACTGAGCAAAGACTTGGTAATGATGATGATAAATATAACAATGAATACATGAGAGATTTTTTTTCTACTTCTGAAGGCCTTAAAAATACAGCTTCTCTCAGAATCCTCTATTTTCTTCATAGTCTATTAACTACTTTCTTTTCACTGGAAATTGAGGGAAGCAGCAGAAAATCATGAGTGTGACAAGAAAATGATGAAATGGATTTCTGAGGTGGCTTGAGGAAATGACTATCAGGTGTTCATAGTCAGTCACACCTTTTATAAAAGCCTGGATAGAACCAGAGAGGATCAAATTCCTCACAGCTCCAGAGAACATAAGGGTTCAAACAAGATGGGCATCCTTGTAGCCAGCTCTTCACAGTTTTCAGATATTTAGGCTCTAAATCCAAGTGGATATGTCCACAGGAAATTTCCATTACAGTATTTTAAAATATCACAAGGCCCCTAAAAAGTCCTAGAACACATAAAAAGAACTATCTATAATCAGGAATGTAACATCAACAACTAATCTGAATTTACATGGGCTCTAAAAATAAGAAGTCCTAATACTGCTGACCTTGGGATTTTTCTGCCTTATATTAAACCCAAAACATTTACACATTTTAAGACATTCTTCTGTTTTCTTCTGTTTTAGCCTTAGAGAATGTGAAGAATCACTGGCTGCTCTACATGAGCAAAGTGATTATATTTTAATAAAATGGAACTCTTTTCTATAAAGTTTTATGAAGTAGTCTTTGGAGATTGGTTTACTAAATTTCACATTTCCTTGTAATATACTTTGACTTAAATGAATTATCCAGGTTCAGCTAAGGATTCCAAATGCACCAAGCCCAGAACACTTGACTTCCGGTCTCATGCTACCCAACACATGCTTCTGCCAGACATTATGTTTAAAGCAATCAATCTTGATTATCGTAGGTAGCTGAACCCAGGTTAAAAAAAAAATCAATTTTAAATACATTCCACAATGCTTTACAGAAGCAAACTAAAACAAATGGGCAAAAAAATGAAAAAAAAATCACAATTATTAAAAAGCTGATTTTTGTTTAAAACACCAAGCAAGGAACGGACATATGAATATTCCTAACCTGCAAAATGATTCCTCCACATTATATCAGCGAAACTCATTGGTGGGCCACTGGGAGGGTAGTGTTTACCTTTCAGAGGCTCATGATCAGTCCTTATCATATCCATTAAGGAGTTCTCCAACGAGTGCAAGTTAAAAGTGTCATAGGGCCTACTCCGGTCCTAAAAATAAAAACACAAAACAACACAGTACATAAAATTACATCATAAAATTAATTACTATATCATTTGCTTCTTGCCATGGATTGATGACATGAATCAAAGTTCCAGATAGTTCTAGTAACACATATTCTTCTTATTAAGAATAATGACTTGGCAACATTAAGCTTAATACAAACTTCTATAATTAACCTCAGCCTTTTCCCAATATTTTTTAATGTATATGTCCCACTACTTCAGACTTTCTCTCAAAAGAACTTAAAAAAGTAAATTCAAAAGAAAGAGTCAAGTGAATTGACTTTGCCTTTGGCCCTTCACCCCAACCTCCACTGTCAAATAAACATTCTATTCAAATGAACAGAGAATTTTTTTATCAGAGAAAGTCCATAATTAAGAACTCTCAGTCTATAAACAGAAACAGTTTCCTAAAAAATTAAAAGATAACTGTAGCTTCAATGTAATTTTATCAGGTATCTTTTTTATTACTGGTAAGTTCCATACATTAGATACACTCTATAAAATTTAACATGTGTCCAAAGTACTGCTAAATTAACTTTTGAAAAGTACTCACATGGAAAACTTTAACCCAGGGTAGGGGTGGGGAAACCCATCATGTTTTCATGATGCTAGAGTCAAAAACATTTTGAAAATAAAGAGCTAACGCAAACTAAGTGAAGAAAAATCATTGTTCCACTACATTTCACTGAGACCATCATGTACAATTATTTTTACTAGTCTGAGCTAAAGGGAAGCACAACTCATAGATTAACATTATAGAATACACTACAGATTTAGTTTGCTTTTATTTAAGAAAAGCAAAACGGATGCTTGGGTGGCTCAGTCAATTACATCTGACTCTTGATTTCAGCTCAGGTCATGATCTCAGGGTCTTGAGACTGAGCCCCTTGTGGGGCTCTGAGCTCAGTTTAGAGTCTGCATGAGACTCTCCCTCTCTCTCTATCCCTCCCATTCCCCCTGCCTCACACTTACACGCACGCTCTCAAATAAATAAATATTTTAAAAAAGCAAAACACACAATTTAACAACCACACCAAATCAAACTATAACAATGAGAGATTATTTTCAGGGTCCTCAACAGTTCATCCAGTCCTGCAAATGATCATTTATGGTCTTCAATGAACAACAGTAGTAAGTAACATTCTGGATGAGCAAAAGGGGATATAACAGGTAAAAACTTCAACTTCAGTGACCATTTTCTAGATTAAGTCTTAAATCTTGGGAAGCTGTTTTTCTTCTGGTTTCTGGAAAGCATGGCTATATATCTATTCAGGGAGGCAGAAAGGAAAGTGGCATTTCCTCAGCACTGAACATGAAGGAAGAATCAGAGGGTTACTGAATGAATAAAAGCAGTATGTATACTCACAGATCCTACGAAATGCCCTGAACTGAGAACCAGGAGGCAAGAGTGCTAGAATAACTACTATAATTGGGGGTTTTGGGTACATCATGATCTACCTCTAGTCTGTGCCTGAAATTCCTCCCTTTTTACAAATGAGAGGACTGAGTTAGAGTATTTCTAATATCGCTTACAACTCTATACTTTTTTTTAAAAAAAACTCAGAGATGAGGAGTAGGGGTTGAGGGTGCAGATGTTTTCGAATGCCAGAGACAAAAATTCCATTTTTACCAACCTTTAATGCCCAAGTCAAGGGCCAACTCCTATACTAAGCCCTGGTGATTCAGAGATGAATGTTGCAACCTAGTCCGTATGTACAAGTAATTAGTAAAAGGAGAGAGACACAACCAATTAAAATAAGAAAATGACAGGTATTTGGATGGGGTAATGTGTACAGTACAATGGAAACTAAGCCACGTTCTATTTCTTAAAGAATATGTATGTCTATATTATAATTTTTTTAAAAAATCACATTCTGAAAAGTCCCAGGTCTCTTGAATCTGGACCTGCCATCTGACGAGGTATGAAATTTGTCTTAGTTATCATCAATGGTCTTCAGTATTCTCATTGGTAAAATAGGATCTTACCTATCAGGATTGGGTTGAAATTACTTAAGTATTTATTCCACTCACATTGTGTTTGTCAATGAGTAAAGCATTCAACATTTCTTAGTTTACTGCCTCCTCTCACTTGCTACCTCCCTCCCTTTTTTTTCTTTTTTAAGATTTTATTATTTATATAAGAGAGAGCATGAGGTGGGGGGAAAGAACAGAGTGGGAGGAAGGTGAAAAGAATCCTAAGCAGACTCCATGCTGAGCCTGGAGCTGGACATGAGGCTGAATCTCATGACCCTGAGATGACGACCTGAGCCAAAATCAAGAGTCAGATGCTTAATTCACTGAGCCACTGAGGCCCCCTCCCATTTTTTTTCCTTTTTAACAATCACCAATTATCTGTCTACTGTTGGATAAGAAAGAGACATGGAATATTTTCTTCGGTTCTTCATTTTGGTCTCTATATAATTCTAGGTCTCTTCTTCTTTAAGGTCTTCCTGTATATCATTTGTTTTGCGCTGGGTTCAAGTTATCCGTGGAAACTCCAATTACTTAAGGAATAAATCTGAATTTCCAGAAATGTAGGCTTATTTGTCTCCATAAGAGGTATCACATTCTTTGTCCAGAGGAAAAGCCACAGGTTAAAAAAAAAAAAAAAAAAAAGTGTGCCGGTGAGAAGTCAAAATGACAACCTATTTCCAGCATTGACAATCCTGGAATGGAAGTCTAGGAGTCTTCTAATGTATATAGATCTCCATACTTCTAAATAGAGCCCTGCAGGCATGGGACTGTTTCAAAAAAGGCTGATAAGGTGAAGGGACTATAAGAAATGGATGTTTGAAGGCATTCAAGGATCTTTCCAGCCAGGACAATTTTTTTCATTTAATTCTTCACATAATCCTTCAAGGTAAATAACAACATATTCATTTCACACATGAGGAAGGTGAGGTTCAGAGAAGATTCTAGCCTGTATCTAACCACAGAGCCAGTACCTAAGGAGTATAAACACAAGCCCAAAGAAATTGATTTAGTTCATACAGGATAGTAAATGAAAGTTCCATAGAAGCACAACATTGTATTTAATTACCAATGAAATGACCTTCCTGGCAAGATGGTCCCCGTCAGAAGACGATATTGGATTATTAGATTATTAGGTAGTCAGGAAAATTAGAGGCATTATTTGCATGGGGATTCATGCATCTAAAGTGGTTCTCAAACCTGTCAGTTTGCCAAAATCACATGTAGAATGGCTTAAATGCACATTCCTGGGCTCCAGGTAAAACCAACTTAGTCATAATTTTAAAATAAGTGTTCCAGGTAACTCTTTTGACTGGCTCAATTTGAGAGCCACCAGACTGGATGGTTCTTCAAATTAAGCCTTTATACCTGCAACTGATCAGTAGAATGGGATAGTAAAGTGAGGAAGGGACTAGAAGGATGGCAGCAGGCAAGAAACAAACCTGGTCACTTTGCCAAAGGTCAGCTTTGTAGTGTTCCGATTGTGGGTTAGGAAAACAGTTGATGGTCTGGTATTTATAAGTACACACTCTGAAATCAGCCATCTGATTTTTTTTAATTTTTTTTTATTTATTCATGATAGTCACACACACAGAGAGAGAGAGAGAGAGAGAGGCAGAGACACAGGCAGAGGGAGAAGCAGGCTCCATGTACCGAGAGCCCGATGTGGGATTCGATCCCGGGTCTCCAGGATCGCGCCCTGGGCCAAAGGCAGGTGCTAAACCGCTGCGCCACCCAGGGATCCCAGCCATCTGATTTTCAAATTTGGGCTCTGCCAGTTGCTGGTATGTCACTCTGAATGAGTTTCTAAGCCTTGGTTACCTTCATCTGTAAAATGATGATTATTTTCCCTATGGTTATTTTCAGTACTAAGTGACAGAACGTACAAGGCATCTGTATAGTGGTGGCTACTGGAATATTAGGGAGAACACAAAGAAACTTCTACGATGCCACCTTGGAGTACTGGGACATCTATTTTAAAACCTAGAGGTTCACTAGTACTCAACAGATGAAAACATGACAGGTGAAATGCAGGACACAATTTGCACAGCCTTCTTAATTGAACAAATTTCAATGTGGAGATTTACTTTCTCATTAAAATTTATTTATCTATGCCTTACTGGTTTATATTTGCAGGATACTATTCATCCTTTTTTATAAGTAGTAAACATTGCTAAAACAACTGAGTAACCAGGAAGCCTACAAGAAATAGAACAAAAAGGACAGAAAAACTACAAAAATTGCAGTGAAATGCAAAGAGAAATCATAGAGAAAATTAGACCATAATTTTTCATTCAACAACAAAAGTTAGAAGTAGAAACTAACCTTTTAAGTTTTTTTTTTAATTTTTTTATTTATTTATGATAGTCACAGAGAGAGAGAGAGGCAGAGACACAGGCAGAGGGAGAAGCAGGCTCCATGCACCGGGAGCCCGATGTGGGATTCGATCCTGGGTCTCCAGGATCGCGCCCTGGGCCAAAGGCAGGCGCCAAATCGCTGCGCCACCCAGGGATCCCACCTTTTAAGTTTTTTAAAATAAGTTTTGGTTCCCAATATAGGGAAAATAAGGAAAACATCTTTTTTTTTAACTTATTTTTTGCAAGTAAACACACCAGGAAGCATTAGAATATTTATAAATAATGCATCCCATTATTGACTCTTTCTTTGATGATAACCAATGACAAATGCTATATAGCAGTTAGTTGTATATAGAGGGAGCTCACTACTTTGCGTGGTTCACTAGCTCTGCTTTTTTATTTCCCTCAGCTTGACTTAATATTAGTATATTTATCAGGTACTTTATATGGGCTTGCCACTATTCTAAGCATGCTAAATGCATTCCCTCACAACTCTATTTTATAAATTAAGCAATTAAATCTTGGAGATACTAAGTAACTGGCCCACTATTACAGGGCAGTAAGCAAGAGAGCCAAGGTTCCAATCCACTCAAATCCAGACTGCTCTCAAGGACTCTCACTCAACTGCTTCTCTGACTTCCTCCTACTCTCTTCTAC